GCTGAGGAGAACTCAGTGCTGGGGGTGCTCGTTAGGAAGCCCTGGGCAGTGGGAGCAGGAGGGGCAGAAACCCCTGGGCAGGCTCTGCAGGTGCTGAACACCTTCCTGAGGAGCGTGCCAGGGCCCACTGGTCACACACTGACACACATGACGAGTGCAGAGTGCAGGCCTTTCAGTTCGTCCCTCCCACCCCCTGCATGACCATTCCTGCACAAAGAGAATTCAATCAAATGCATCGTTGTCTCCTTCACTGACATTGGTTTTACTCCCTGGACTAAGAACACTGTCCCCCAAGAACCTGACAGGACATTTGAGTGCTCTCAAGCAGACATTAGGTGGACCAGTGCTTCTGGACCAAGACATGTGCCTCTCTAGCAAGGTGACTCTTACTGAGCCACTGAATCCCCTCCTGAAAGGAACACTCAAAGAAAGGAGTGAGAAGGAACGAGGGTAGATGATGTGCTTTCTGTGGACAAAAAAAATTTAAAGAACTAGGCTTATACTTTTGCTAAAACCCATAAAGAACCAAAGGGAGAGAGGGAGGGAACCCCCTGTGGCTCCTCAGAAAGGAAGGGGAGCCCACACTGCTCATCTGTGGGCAGACTCACGCTGCCAGAGAAGGCCCTGCTGCTGTGGGAGCAGCCCCGAGTGGCCAGGAGAGGAGGCTGCTCTGCAGCAGAGCACACACTTGCACCAATATTAGCAAATGAACTTGTCTTCCCCTTTCCCCTTTGGTTTCTACCTCAGTGCCACACAATGCCTGCTGTGATCCAGGGGAATCTGCTATTGTTCCGATGCACCTGGGTGTGAAGGGAGTCACAGGGTCTGGCAAGGGAGCCTTCCTCCCTTCCCTGCTTCATCCCTTTTACCCCGGAGATAATCCCTCCTCTGCTGCTCTGGCCTCAGCCATCCAGGGCTGCATTCCTGGAATGTAGCTGGCTGCTGTTCTCCCATCTTCCCCCTGACCTCTTAATGCCGTTTAATCTCCTGGAAGCGGAGCCCTGCCCAGCAAAGCAGGGTTGTTTGCTCCCTGTGTCCAAGTGCAGATGGTGAACAGGAAAAATTAACACGTTCATTTACAGCAAAAGGGATCAAAACAGAAAAGGAGATGGCAGTTTCCACGTTAATGGCCTGCAGAAGTTTAACAGCAGTCAGGATCAGGCGGGAAGAGAAGCTGGAGAAGCCTTTCCACAGTTAGACTAAAGCTGCTTTAGCACAGGAGAACTTCCCTTTTGTTTCCCAGTTATTTACATTACCCCCAGAGCACTGACTCTCTGTAGTTTGCATCAAGAGTGGAACAGGACTGAATCTCATCACTCCAGACAGACTTCAAGAGTCTTTTGTATGCTGTTAAGCTTTACCTTTTGGTGTGAAAATGGAATTAAATATGCTATTTGCTGGTAAATAAAAACAAGCCACAGAAACATAAACACAGCTAGGCTGACAAAAGACATTCTAATTATAACAGACACAATTAGAGAGCTCCACAGAACTGGCAGGATCACTTGCTTCTAATGAAATGATTCCCTTTCCCAACAAGTGATGTTTCTGGCAGCCTATCATTTGCTGGTTTAATTTTACTACATCAGTCATGCTCCTGACTGTGGAAAAGCTCCAGAGGGAGAACGTCCCTAAGGTTTGTTTTTAGAGCCCCGGGGCTCCCCCTGTGTGCTCACACACCTCTCACAGACTGCTGGGAAGAATGGGAGCATCCTGGGGGTTCTGCCAGAGCAGCCCCAACAGCTGCTTGTTGGACAAGGAACGTGTTCCAAACAGTCACCGTGAGGCTGGGCAGTGTTCATTCTCCAAAGAGCTCAATGATAACACAGGAACACGAGTGCATTCCACCTCAAAAGCTGGAGTGAGGCACAGAAACGAGCCACACTTGCCCTGTGTGTGTCCCTCTGCCCTGGGCAATGGTCACTGCGCTGGCACAGCGGGAAGGATCCCAAGGACAGCTCTGGCAGCTGAACATGCACCACGCGTTCTGATGCTCTGAGTACGTCTTGGTCCGTTTTTATGACAAAACCCACAACAAAGTAAGTAATAAGACACTTGTGGAATCATTAAGGTTGGAAAAGACCAACCATGAAGTCCAATCATCCACCCAGCACCACAAGGAATGTTCTCTGCAGCACTGGATCTTCCATAATAACTAACCTTACTTTTCCCCAAAACAGAGAGCACTATTCAGTACTACAAACTATTCATTTGAATCTTGTCCTTGCCTTGAAAATCCCCTCTTCTACCCCCTCATTAAACCTCGAGTTGCCTGTAGGGTTCCTGCTCCTTGTTGAGTACAGTTGGATTGCCCTGGAGCCCGTGCTGATAGCCCTGTATTTGGTTGATCCAGGGGTCAATAGGAAAGGTACACCCTGGGGAAACCAAAATCACGTGAAGGCACACTGAGGAAAAAGCTGGGGTCCCACCCTCCCGCTTCATCTCCTGGTGTCTCACTAAGGACACTTTGTTTAAATCTTTATGGCACTGCCCCAGGCTATCTGGCAAAAATCCTTCTTCTCACCATCCAGAAGAGCTTCCCACACTGTCTGAGTATTACACAAACCACCATCAAAACAATTCCAGGATAAACAAGGCTCTCCAAGGATGCCCGACCACGGCTCACCAGGATGAGCCACGGCACTGGGGGGTCTCACCCGGCCGGGTAATTGCTGCTACATTTCGGTGCACCATCAGCTGAGGTGCTGTGCCTCCGAAGGCACTTCAAGGTATTTCAGCGAGATTTTTTGCAGCCTCACAACCGCAGACACACAGCCGTGTTTGGAAAAGCTGGAAAGCCCCTCACTATAGGGTGAGAGATAATGAGTTAAAATTAAAGGTTGCCGCTGGCTCCCCAGCCCATCCCCCTTCAGCTAATCTGTCATGTAATGAAGAGAAGCCCCCAGCACAGGACAGCTCGCTGCCGGCTCACTTACAGCGAGCTGATTAAGAATGTTCAACCAACAGCAGCCCGCAGACCTTTCCGAGGAAAATAAATAGAGTGTATGCAAATGTGTTTGTCACTTTGACAGCACGTCTCAATTAGCGCGGCACACGGCGCTGGCCCCGCTCCCCGCCCGGGCTGACCCGCCCGCCGCGCTCCCAGGGCCTGGCTGAGCCCGAGCCCGCCACAGCGGCACGGTGACAGTGGCACAGCTTTCATCCACACCTTCCCCGGGCTGTGAGCAGTGATAGTGGCACGGCAGCTTTCATCCACACCTTCCCCACGGCCCCAGCGCACCCACGGCCCCTTCGCCCAGTCCCCGCCGCTCTTTAATTGTTCCCACCTTCTGCATTCCAGGCAGAGTTAAAAGTGACGCTGAAATCGCTGCCTTTAATCACGAGTTAGAAGCCATCTCCCATTTAAGCAGTAAATGCTGCTGCTTTTTTTTCCCTCCCCAAAGCCCTAATCTATATTTCATGAGCCTGGACATCTCTCCCTTTTGAGTGGAAGGGTGATGGTGTTTTCATTGGGCACTGGGCTAGCGGGAGCAGCAGCCCCGAGCCAGGACACAGGCTGGGAGGGGACACCCCCCAACTGCTAAGTCAGGTGAGTTTTGGAGACCAACACTTGGAATGCACTGACAGCACAAGCCTTTGGCCAGCAAGCCTCTCGCCACAGCCAGGGGTCGGCGAAGCTGCTGAGAGCTCCTCTGGACACCCAGACAGGGAGCGTGAACAAATCTGAAAAGTGACTGCTAGAAAACCTCATGAATTTAAATCTGCACTTACCACTCAAATATATATTTCATTAATCTACCAAAATGTTTGAACCAGCCATCCCTCATACAAATCTAAAGGAAAAACTGAAAATAAATTGTAATAATATCTGATTTCTGACTGCTTCAAACGAAATGTAACATGTCCCTGCTGGAGCTAGATGGCTGCATTCCTCCAGTAGCCCCAATTCCTCTCAACTGTACTGGCACAGACAGTAAGGGAAAAATAAATCACTACTGCAAATACTTAATTGGAAGAGAATGTGCTTTAAAAAAAGTCTTCAAGAACTTACATTTAGCACAGTGGTGAAAGTTCTGAAAGAAATAAATCTGATTCTAAAATGATACAGACAACACTGCTCTGAGCACTGATGTAGCCCTAATACCTGAACAGTCAGTGCAGCCACTGGTTTCTATTCATAGATATTTCTCTAAAAATCTGCTTTGCTTCCCAATTTATAATGTTTTACCATTGCTTGAAAATTACACTTTGCTTCCTTAGAAGAAATCAGCTATTCCTTCCTGTTTTCTGATCAGAACAGTGCAAAGAACGGATGCAGCAAAAGAAAACTGTTAACACAAACCATGTTATTTTTTGAGTCAGGCTACACTTAATAGGGGAACACTGGCAAACTGATAATAAACGCTGTATGTTTTTCCATGAAAATCACAGAAACTACAACATTTTCTAAATAACTAGCTCTTAAAAACTCCACACAAACTCACTGTTTTGCAGACATTTCAAAAGAAACATTACACGGGTAAGTAATGTGAACAGCTCAGCTGTCAATACCGAATACAGAGTACACTAACAAGCTATTAATTGATTTTTCCATCTTAGTTCATCGCATTTAATTTTCAGAGAATGTTCAAATGCTTTAATAGTTGGATGTTCCATATTGACACTAATGATCTGGCAAGATAACAGAGGACATTTTAAACCCTACCCCCTCAGTCCTGAGGGCTGCAGCTCTTTGCAAGCCAAAAGAACCGCAAAAGAGTTTATAAAATTGCTTTAATATTTTTGCTTCACCCCCCATTCACTTAGAGTTTATTTTCCTCAAAATCATCATACGAACAAAAGGAATCAAGAAAGCCCAGAAAAATCAGGTTTTGGACTCTCATAAAAAAGGATGCCACAGAAACAAAGCTGTGAGTAATAAATAAAATAATTCAGTGAGTGGATGTAATGAAACAACTGGCACCTTCGTTACTGGGATTTTGCCCTGAACTGGTTTTGCTGAGTCACACAATTTAAAGAGACCCGACACCGAGACCTACCTGCCCGAAGTGTACTGTGATTGGTCTTCTGTCCTCCCTTAGTTTCGGGTCCTTCTTCTCCCCCAGTGGTGACGGAGCTGTCCTGGGCAGGGGCTCCTCCGGCACGGCCGAGCACCCGTTCTCAGCAATGTCCTGTGTGGTAGGAACAGGTGAATAGCATGGCCAGGAACACTCTTGAGTCAGGGCAAGGTGCACAAAGGACACACTAGAGGATAACGCTGACTAACGGTTTGGATGTCAGGGGAGGAAAAACACCAAAGTACAGAAAAGAAAACATGGTTAGAATAAAACAGGTCATTGCAGTTGGTCCGTCAGAGCCTGTACACGACCCCTCTCTCCTCCCAGTGCCAGTGGTGCAAATAGGGACAGTCAACAAAACGTCGGACCTGAACACGCAAAAGCCACGAAATGCATGTGGAGAGAAAAACCACGGCTCAGATTTGCTGTTTTAGCAATGAGTTCAACAGGAGCCCAGGAACAGGGTATTCTGCTTTCTGTAAACCCAAATGAACACGGTAATTCCATTTACCTACTGCACAGAATTAGCCATAGCAGAACAATTACTTGTGGAAGTGGCCAGGAGAGATGGAACTCAGAGCTTAGCTAGCTTTCATTTCAGCTTTGAGCCTGTGTGGACTGAATATGCCTCCAGGAGAGTGTGCACCACCAACTGCTGCCTCACAGAAGGCTTTTGTGTTTGCTTTGACATCAGCCCTCTTCTCCAGAAGTGAGGTGACCCACCAGCCTAGGTTAGAGGACTTGGCAAGTGCAGGCACGGGGTCTGTGACACGGGTTTTGAACAGGACAAAGGCCTGCAGGCACCGGGAATCAGACAAGGAGCAAAGAGTCTGAGAGTGAGTGGAGAAAGAGTCTGCAGCACAGTGGGCCCCGAAGCTTTACATCTCTGCAACAATGCCAGGGAAACAATGCCGGGTAAACATCCAGAGGAGGCTGCACAGGCTGGAGCTCGCAGGGCCGACCTAAGGGTGGCTGCTGACACCGGCGGGCTTTGATTGCTGACCTCTGGCCTGGCCCGGGCCCGGCTGGCGCAGGTACAATAATGAGCCGTGCGGGCTGATGGCCAATTAGAAACGGTTCCTTTGGACACACACTGACCTAATGTGTTCAGGTCAAATGAAACAAAAAGCTCGATGGACTTTCTAAGGGGCTTTGTCTGCTCCACACAGAAGCTGAGACCCCTCTTTAGATCCAGCTGGTAGAGCAGTGGTTCCCCAACATGAGCATAAGGATGGTGGGGAATTAACAACTTGCTAAGGTCAAGCTGGAGAGAAAAACTTTTTCCTCCCCCTGCCCTCTGGCTCCACAATGGCACCTTGTCTTTAAAAAGTACAGCAAAGTCCAGGGAATTAGTAACAAAGAGCCCCAAAACAATGCAATGACAAGAAACGTGTCTGTCAAGCTCATACTGCAGCTCCCACCAAGGGGTGTGCTCAGTTCTGGACTCACAGAACCTGCAGCGACACTCCACACAACCTTCATTCCCACATTTCTGTGCCAGTGGAGCTGTACCAGACGTGCCTCCAGCCCCAGAGCTGCCCTGCAAAGGCCCCCAGCCCTGCAGAGCCGGAGTGCGGCTCCAGCCCAGCAAGGAAAGCTGGGAATCCCAGGGAGCCAGGCAGCAACAGGGCACCAAACTGCCAAAAGTGTGGAGAAAGGACGCTCAGGTCTGCACATGAGGGGAGTGGGAGGAGACAGACGGTACAGAGAGATCAGCCCATTAAGCCAGGTCCCCTCAGATGTGTAACGATCCCTGCAAATGCCTGAGCTGTTATTGCTATAGATTGGCTGGACTTCTCTGATGATATAACTGCATTTCAAAGCCTATTTGCACTGTGCTTGGTGTACACACTTCCAAAGAAACCACAGCACATCTCAGTCAAAATGACTTTTTTAAAAAATTGCTTAATAAAATATGAGAATTAAATGGCTTGATTCCTCTCTTTTCCCAACATCCCCAAAAGGCAAACAAACCAGCACAGCTTCAGTCATCAAAGCAAAACCTACTTCACAGGAGTTTGTTTTCTACCTTCGATGAAAACACATTTGAGTTACAGAAACAGTGAAACCTGATATCCAAGGCCCAAAATAAGTAGCATTAAAATCAGGAAATGTCAAAGCATCTGGCACTTCTACAACTGAAAAGTAAACAACAGTCCTTCAGGCCACTGGCACACCTGGGATTGGCACCTTACTGGTATAAACCAGCAAGACATTCCTGAAGTAGCTTAAGCCATATATGTTATTCAGGATAACAACAAAACCCATGAGATCTCTGCCTCCCAAAAACCAGGAAAAACGGAAGGTGGTAAGTTACTCATTGGTGGAATAAATTCTCCAGGAATACAAAACTCAAGCAGTGCTCCAGTGACTTTTAATGAAAAGGAAGTGTAATCTAAGGGTATTATTAAAACCAGAACCATCTTCTGTCTGAGGAAAGAAGACACTCAACAGATTAGCAGAAAAGCAGAATGACAGTGATCTATCCCACTCCAAAGTGATCTCCAGGACACCTCCACGAGAAGAGCTTCCCCCAACAACTATCTGTCCAGGTGAGATCTTCCCTACCTATTCATTTTAGAGGAGAAGCTTCAGAGAAAGAGATATTCTGGTTAAATATGCATCAGCAGTTTCTGCAGGGGCCTTTTGCTCTAGAAGAGCAAACCCCCTTTCAAAAGTGGAGAGGCACTGTCCTTGTGCAGGTTGTTCTGCAAAGCTCCACAGGAGTTGTTTCCACAATATCAGACCTTAGCCAGAGCCAACCAGGGCTCCACAACTACAATAATGTTGAATACATTAATGCCAAGTGCCCACCCATTTATACAAATTGTCTTAGCCAGAGCTGTCAGTGAGTTCCATTCTCCTGGCTGAAAGTTGAGGATGGTACCATTCATATTCCTCCTTCTTCCTAATTCTATGCAGTTAAGCTTCAAATGAGCCACTAACGGAGTGACTTGACCACCACGGTCCATTTGTGAGATGGAAAAAGGCAGCCTTTGCCAAAAAAAAAAAAAAAAAAAAAAAGGGGGGGAAAAAAAAAAAAAAAAAAAAAAAAGGGGGGGGAAGAAAAAAAAAAAAAAAGGGAAAAAAAAAAGAAAAAAGGAAAAAGAACTGTATCAGATATAAAATAAAGCTACCAGGCTGTATCTATTAACAATTATTTGCTCTCACTCATAAGAATCCTCTGAAAACGATTTCTGTTGCTTTGAAATACTGCACCACAAATGAACAAGGGATGGAAATGGAGCCCCATTCAATCTCCACTATCATATTAAAGAAGGACCTTACACACACCACAGTGACCTCTCAACAGGTCAATCCTGCATTTCTCATTTGCAATTCAAACCCAACACTGGAGCAGACCAAGGGCAAAATGGGCTCTTGATTATATTTAAGAGGTCACCATTGCTATGCAGAGTTGGAGGAAGCAGACCTCCAGCTTTATTGCATTTTTAAATTCTATCTTGTACAGAAGCTGCTCAGATTTGGCAGTGAAAACTGGAAAAGGGATGTTTATATTTGACTTTTCCTTACCAGGGGCCTGCATACTTTCTGTATTAATAATGGAAAATAGTATGTTAAAATGCAGTGGATAGTAAGTTCAGTTTAAAAATAACCTTAGGTTACCCTCAGAAGATGAAAGACTAGCATCCCAAATTTGGCAAAAATGAAGTACTTAATGATGCCAGAATGTCAAACAGTTAACACTTGCACATGCCAGTAAGTAAACACATGAGAAATACCATGTTCTCACATGAAAACTGGGGAGGATGCTTTAACAGACTTGTGCATAATAGACCCATAATGGAGCAGCACAGGCATTCAGATTAAAAATGAGGGTGACCAAAACAATTTTTGCTATTTTTATCTCTTTCAACAGAGCAATCCCTAATTTTAGAGTTATCTTGCTACGTGCATTCAGATGGAGAAGAGGATGGGATAGAAGAGGACAGAATAAGGAAGGGAGGGGAGGTGGAGCAGTGTGTGCCAGCCACTGCCAGCAATCTTTTGAGCTCTTGTGAAAGCCTGTGCTGAACAATCATGTTTAACCACCTCGCTTACAGGAACACCACATAATAAGGAAGGTGAAACAAAACCAGGCCATTTGGCTGTAAATGTTCTGTGTGTTTTTAAAAGGAAGCTCGCTGCCTGACAGAGCAGCAGGACAACCACGTTCATAAAACAAAGCACTGACCGAAGGAGGCTTTCCTCAGCCTGGCATACAAATGTCACACAACAGCACACAGTTCTATTAGCATTTAAAATACAGGAAAAAATCTGGTCGTGTTACACAGCTCCAACTGCTCCAGAAATGCACAGGAGAAGGCCAAACATTTTATTATTCATGAAGGTTATGTCCAGAAATGAAACACATGGAATGACACATAAAAAAAGCATATACAAGAAAACTGCTTCATGTTTCTATTATTTTCAAATTACACCTAAAGTGGCTGTGCATAATGTAGTGTAATAAAATCAAATGGCATTAAAGGCATCTGAAGCAACGTTCTCTTGCCCCAGACTCTCCAGCAATCTGCTGGAATATTCAGAGCTGCACTGCACACACAGGTAACCCCTCTGCAGGAGCAGTGCTGCCGTGCTCAGCTGCACTTGTGTCCCTGCCCTGCCATGGGGGGCTCCAAATTTAGAGGAGAAAATTCACAGACAGCACAGATTAAACCCCACCCAAACTATTATGCAGCAAATTAAACCAAACCGTCAGAATCCTCTCAACAAGTCAGCTGTCTTGTCTCCCCACAGGACTCTGACAGCTCTGATTCACAGAATAAACAGGATATCTGCACTGAACCCAAGGCACAGTTACCCAGCCAGTCATAAGGGGAGTGGCAACTGCTGCCTAAAAAGGAGCAATCAGGAATTGGATAACACATCCCTCAAACACAACTGAGCATTTTTACAAACAAACAAACAAACAAACAAACAGATTTGGAAAACAACACCGTCAGTACTTTTTCCTGCAATAATTCCAGTTGGAAATGAAGACCAACTCTAATGAACTCCTCCATGTCTGAACTCTGCAGCAGACTCCTGACACACAGGAGCCTCCTTTCCAGTGGCAGACAGACAGGACAGGTATTTCCTGCCTGATCCCTGTCAGTACCAACAGTTTGGTGTGCCCAAAGCTCAGTGCCCTGGCTGGAGGGAACAGCTCCCAGCGCCCCAGCCCGAGGGACCTCCCCAAACACAACACTCCATTTGCTGGCTTTTGTGGGTTGAAGTCAGAGCCTTAATGTACTTGAAGACAATTTTTTTTTGTGTCAGTGAATATTTATAACTGGGAAAAATCGGGGCCAGCTGGTAATGCATTTTGAAGTGTGCTAACAACACTGTATCAAACAGCTTCCTATTGATCACATCACGCTTTCAGTGGCTCAGGAGTTCAGACGTGGTGCTTATACATTTTGAATAAGAACTTCAAGTACCTTTTGCTTCAAGCGGTTTTTCACTTCCTTTATTCCCATTTTCGCATGATCTTTTGCCTGCATGAAAAATTAATTCAAGTTAAAATCCCCTTCTATTTCCAGTGGTGACTAAGTTTGACTTCGGTTACTAAAAATGGCAATTAAAAAATAATGTGTTTTCAGGATACTGAAAACACATTAAAACAAACAGAAAGCTAAAAGGACCCCAAACAAACAAAACCCACCACCCCCACCCCAGCCGCAAAAATTTTGTTTTCCCTGTTTTGATGCCATACACATCTTTCATCTTTGTGCATTCCACACCCTCAGTGTTCCCCTCTAAGGACTTTTCTTTGCTATAAACTTGTATTCCCCAGCACCAGCAGTGAGCCTGCAGACCCTCTCCCTGCAGTGCTCTGGATGCCAGGCTAGCAGAGCCATCCTCATCCTCCTCATCTTCCTCAGGCTGGAGGAAGGCAGGAGAAAACCCAAGCCTGACTGGTTATCTCAGTGATTTATGTAGCATTATTTCCCAAAACCGAGCACGTAAGAAATGCTCAGCTCCTCCATTTGATCTCGCAGAGTGGAGCTGGCAGCCACACATGACAGCACAGCAACACACCAGCTGTTTGTTAACAGTGCTGAAAACACTGCCACTGAAAGAATAACTCAGTAAGCTGGAGTCGAAATGAGCAGGTATAAGAAATCTGTACGGAAAATTAATTGACATTTAGAAAAGATGGAAACAATTTGGAAAATGAGAGGATTCCCTTCCTTCGGTGAAGTGCAGGCAGGGAAACCTGAGGTAACAATGGTTTCCAACAGAGCAATGATGAGATGGTAGAGCTGCTTAGCAGAGCACACAGGCACCATTTCCCAGAAAGAGTTCTGTGTAATGCATAGAATTTATCATCTAGACTTTCAAAAGAAATCACAAGTTTCCATCCCCCTTCGCATTTCAAAGTGACTTTTCCATTTCAATTTGAAATGTAGATGAATGCGTATTTTAAGTAATTTTGTGAGTCCAATAAAAATGCATGTAAAGTGTTGAGTCTCATTTGAAAGGTTAGAACAGAATGGTAATTAGACTCTTATCTCAGTAGTAAGCCAGTACTCAATACTTACAAACTTATAGACAGTCTTCATGGCAGGGTTGGCCTTGGTCTTTACTGTGTTTAAAATGGCCCCACTTCCTTTCTGTAATTACAGTAAGCAGAGAAGGAATGTTATCAGAGCTCTCAGAAGCAAACAGCCATCCAAACCCCACCACTCCTCAAACAACAAAGCATTAACTGCGCTTATTAGCAGGGCTGAGCATTCCAGTGGCAAATCCAGAGAAAAGGACAGGAGCACAAGCACGCTGGGTGTTTCTCTGGTTTTGCCCAGTTCTGTTCAGCCCTGCAGTTCTCCCAGGAAAGGTATCAGTGTCTCCCAAGAGCCCCTGTCTGTGTATCCCAAACCCAGGGGAGGTCTGGGATTCACTCTCCCTCAGGGGGTCCCGCTCACTCCACTAAAATCCCAAACAAGTTCAAGGCAAAAGTATCCTAACAGATGTCTGGGGCAGGAAATTCCCTTTCAGGAAAGCCTGGACAAGCAATCTGAAGATGTAGGACCTTTTCTGTGTTCCCATCTTCCCTTCCCTCATCCCGCAGTCCTGTTTATTACACACATACACTGCCTTTTTAAGATCCAAGCAGTCGATAAAATTGAGGGAAAATGAAACCTAACTACAGGCATAAACACTAATTCTAGAAAAGCTGAATTGCATGTGGCGAATATAATCAAAGTAATGAGCCAGTAATGCATCAGCCAGAATCATCTGTTCGTCTGGCCAGGGTTTTATACCCCTTCCTCACACCGCTGACTAACTGCTGGACAGCCAGAGCCAAGGAAGCAAACCTGAGCTAATTTTATATTTTCTACTTTCGCTGCAAAATTATATTTCCAGAGATCAGGTCTGATTATGTGCAATCAGATGCAAGCAGTTTCAAGATTTACTACCTCTGTTACTTCATGACAATTAATCTTCCACAAAAATGATAAACTGTTGAATTTAATCACACTAATTTTTATATTCACTCTCAGGCATTACCCAATGTTAAAATTACCTGTCATCCTACATATTTATATATATTTATGTATATTTATTTACTTCCCTAACCATGCAATGGAATTTTTAAACATTACTGCTATAAAATATATGTAATTCAAAATCATCAAGATTATACTGAGCCCAGCACTTTGTGTAAGGAACACAATCCCATTCACAAGCAGGACAGGAGCAGACAGAATGCTGTAACACTCAGTTCTGCCAGAAAAAACAAACCAAAAATCTTTTCTTTCGACTCATACCCACAAACGTGAAATATTTTACTTTTCAATACACCACATTTTAGGCACTGAAAGAAGCTTTTCACATCCACTATAACAACTTAATATTCTCTAAAAGCATTTACACTTTTAATCTGTACATCTGGCACATTTACAATCTGGCACTAAACCAGAGATGCAAAGCCCACCCCGAGCAGTGGTGCCCCCACTCCACACTTCCCACCAGTGAGCTTTCTCAGGGGGGTGTCGGTGTGACAGCGTTTCCCCCCCAACAGGAACTGCAGTGCCTACTGCAAATCGTGCTCTTACCCTCACTGTGGAGAGCCACTGGTGGTACAGTTTGTCGCTGCCTGGAGAGAAGCACAAACACAAACAAGCAGATGTAACTCTGTGCAACAGGAAACAAGCCCAAAAGGTGAAGTGCTGGCACTCAGTGGTTCTGGGAGCAGGGCCAGAACAGGACAGCCAGACTTCTCTTTCTGGGAGACACAACAACAAAATACCGAGCAGAGATTTACACTTTTCTATTTTCTGTCTTGTCTCAGACATTTGGGAACTCCGGGATATTTTAAGATCATAAGAAGTATGAGGTGGTTCTGGTTCCTAAAGCCAAGGGGTTTTCTCCACTGCAAGGACTCTTTTAGCTGCACTTTATTCAAGAGGTAAAGCTGAGGTTTTCTAAGACTGAACAAGCTTTATTCAAACTATAATACGTTATTCTAAGCTCTTGACAGAGGAAAGAACAGCGAAGTAAGACACTTCAGGCTGCCAGGATCACACAGACAGTGGGTGAACAGCGGTGTCCCAAACTCCCTCCAACACCCCTCTCCCACCTGCGTATTCGCCTGCGTTGATCTCCTCCTCGAACACGTCACTGAAGCCCTCCCCGGAGTTCAGCAGGTCCAGACGCCCGTCAATGAACTGCAGCAGGCAAAGGAGAGCACAAACACATCAACCACCCCACCCTGCAGCCTTTCAGAAAGGCTCCATCCTGCACTGGCTGCAATAACCCGGTGTTTACATTGGGTAGGGACTGGGAGTGGAGTGAGAACCCCACCAAAACTGGGCAGATGTTTCCCAGTGCCCAAGGTGTGCCGTGTCCCTACACCCGGCAGTGTGTGGTTGCACAGTGCCCTCAGCTGCCCTGGAGCACCAATGCCATGCTTTACACTAATATCTTTCTGTGCCAAGTTTACAGCAGACATTTTGGGGCCAGGTGTGCTCAGAGCCCTTCAGTGGCAAACCCACACACCTCTCCAAACACAGAGAGCCTCAGCACTGGGTCTGAGAGCAGCCAGCAGGAAAGGACTGAGGGGCTGCACTACATGATTTTCCTGAGGCTGACAGATGAAGGAATATAGAAACAGCCCTCACCCCCCCTTGTCCTGTTAGAGAATCTCCACCAGGGCAAAGAAGGCAGTACCTGCTTGAAGAGCTGGAGCTGGATGGCGTTCTGGAGGAACTGCCTCATGACAGCCGAGCGGTGCGACACGAACGCCTCCTCACAGAACGTGATGGGCTCCCCCTGCAGAGGGCACAGCACCACACGCTGCATCAGCTCTGCCCCAGCCACTGCCACCCTCTGCCCCATCCCACCCGCTCCCCTCCCAGGCACAGCTGGCTCAGACAGGCCCACCACACACCCAGGGAACTGGGCTGCATTCCCAGCTTCCAGCCATGGGACTGGAAAACTGCAATGGTGTATCATCCAAATAAACCACAATGGTTTAATGCACATACTGCTACAGCTGGTGAAGAACTTTCATCATCCAAAACGGTGATTTTACTTACTGTCCCCAAAATATGACACACAGTCATCTGAGTTTTGTTTATTCTGCTGATCTGCCCCAGCAGAGCCAGCACGAGCGGGTCAGGAATGTCCACGCTGTTCTCCCCAGTCCTGAAAGATTCCACTCATATTGAATGAGTGGAATTTCCCTTTTTCACAATCTTGTTGGCAGAAGACAGAAATTGTTTTGCAGCTTTACTTTTACAGGATTTTAACGAGTTATGGTAATGTTGAAATCTGCTGTGCATCTGCCATAAGGGCACCAATTTCCTCCACACATCTACAAATACATAACAGAGCAAGCAAATATATTTATTGAATTCAAAATAAGAAAGTAGCAAAGAATGACTAAATTATACTGATGTATAATTAATATGGAGGCTTTTTCATACTCAGACTAAAATACATTTGGACTCTTCATCTGTTGAACCTTCAAAATTGACATTAGATAGGAAGAAACCTTAAAGTACCCCCTTCGAAAGGGTGGTATCATTCAATTTCTGAAAGCTTTAAATTAGCAATCTCATTTACCACTGGCTGTATAAAATCAGGACAACAAGGCCAATAAAATGCCTGAAGAAAAGGGTGAGGTTTGCAAATTTCTAAGCCCAGGATAGGGCTCATTCAAAGAGGGAAGAAATCACTCTTTTAGGAGAGTGCCTGTCACCTTTCCTTGGGCCACTGCATTTCCATGGATTTGGAAAAGAAAGCAAGACTCTTATGTGATAACTACAGTTTCAGGGTAATTCATTTTAAAGCCAATAGCCTGTCTTTGATTTACTCTAGCAGGTATTTACAGGGAAAACCAAAATCACTACATTCTTCCCAGGCAAAAAGCATGAGTGTGAAAAAAACCACATTTTTTTTCTTCCCTATGGCTTTGTTCTCATCAGAATAAGGAATCATAAGACACATCACTTCAAAGTATACAAATAAAAGATGTTTAGAAAAACAGGTCTGGCTGGGCCATGCCTGGTGGAGAAGACACTGGTGACTGTGTCCATGGCACACTGACTGCAGCCAGCAAAGGTTCTGGCTCCAAAACCAAGCTGTGCACACTCTGAAAGGTTTCAGTGCAGTTAAATTACTAACAGCTGACATCTGCTTGACCAGTATGAAAAAGGCTTCCCTGTCAAATACAGCTACCAGAATGTAACAGGGGATCCCTGAAAAATATTGTACCTGTGTCAGAGACAGAAAGAGCTGGGAGGAATGGGTGAAGTCCACCCAAGAAGTTCATCCAAGGAAGGTTTAGCTGCCATTTAATCCCCACTTATAAAGCACTTAACAGGAAACAAGCAACCCTTCCTATCACCTGCAAGGATCATCCCAGACTGCTCCCGTGGCCAGGGCAGAGCGTGGACACTGCCCTGTCCCTGCCCCCCAGCACAACCCCCCAGTGTGCCCCGCCGAGCCGGGCCCTGCTCTGTAACACCCCCACAGCAGCCGGGGCACCATCACTCTGCTAACACCCTGCCTTCCCAAAGTACTAACGATTGAGTTTGTTCATTAGCTTGATTAGACCTTCTGACTTCCTGAGAGACAATTGAGGCTCAACTGCTGCGAGATGAGAGGAGAAACTTTAATCCTGGAGGTCAAGCGTGAGCTCTGCAGCTCAGGATGCATTAGAGCCTCCCACCCTGCTGACCTCCCCGAGCTGCACACGCTGCTCCAGCCCTGCCCCACAGCAGCACAGCCTGCACACCACGACCACTGCCCTGGCAGATTGAGGCAGGGGAGGGGAAATTAGAGAGCTAATCAGCTCTGCTTTTACTGGCAAATGACATTACACGCGAGGGGACACGTGTGGAACTGCAGATGTGTTGTGGAATTAATGGTCTTGCTCACGTGTAAAACAATTAAAATAACTTGTTCTGATAAACCCATCAAATCCTAAACTTGTTGGTTCTAACAATTAGAATTTAGGCCTTGATTCATCAACACTTTAAATGTCCATTAATCCCCTCCAACTGTAAATGCCAAACAGAGGCTAAAACGTGGCACTGGAAAGCCTCCAACAGTACAACTGATGGGGAATCTGATTTGATCTGTGATGTAATATTACAGACCATTCAAGCAGATTCCAAGATTGGATCACAAAATTATTCTTAATAAACAAATTTACACATTTAATCTGCCATCTTAACACAAGAGAAGTATCTTTAAATATAAGACTAAGATTTAAGACTCCCAGATGCATTGAAAAAAATAGGTGTCTTTTTTATGCCTTTGCAAATCTCCCTTTATATGAATATTTTATATTCATCTGGCATAATGAAGTTCATCAGGGCACTGCTGCTATCTCAAGACCCCTTAAAGAGCTGAGAAGTTCCAGCCCACATCTGATCTGTTGCCAGACCTATTTTTAAACTGGAATTGTGTCACATTCTAAAATAATGTTTAAGACTACTTAAGACAGCAAGTGGAAAACAAAAGGAGTCTAGGACTAATTTCAGACTGTTCTGGAGTTTCAGGAAACCTGCTGTCATATTTTAAGAAGCCACAATGCAAATTGAAAGAAAAAGCCCGATTTTGATTAAGTCCACTGTGAAAAACTTCACCGTGATCCCTCATCTTTCAAGGAAATCACTTTCCCTCAGCTCACTGGTTATGGCAGGAACTTTCAGAGTGAATATAAAGGATTAAAATATGTGGGACAGAAGACAGCTCTGATGAGAGAAGGCCATGGAGAGGGGACAGAGGCAAACACAGGGATGGTTCTGGAAAGAGGCAGGAGCCAAGGCACCCCCTGGGAATGGGACTGCTCCCACTCCCAGGGGTGTGCAGCAGATAACGGTGCTGGGGGGACATGATTATATGGGGAAAAAAACAATGAAAAAATCACCAACCCCAACAACCCAAAGCTGAAGACTTTGTTTAGACAACCCCAAAAGTTGTGCCGTGGCAGAGAGGGATGATCTCTGTGCAGTAGCAGGGGCAGCCTGTGGTGCAGGGTAATGAATTTTGAGCTGCTGTGTGCATGCCTTCCTACACGTAGGTGCTCCTTCAAAGCCTCTCTAATAAACACACAAACCATTAGAGCTGCTCTGAAAATCAGCCACGGAATCAGAAGATGTGGGTGGAATTTAAAGGGGCAGAACAAGATGCCAATGTGGCAGGGCACAAGCTGCAAGTCCAGTGTCACTGTACCACACAGCAACCCCATAGATGCAGCAACCCCAAGGGTGCAAGGGATTATTACCACCTGGGGGTGCAAATAACTGTACTCAGAGTGGTTAATGATAAAGGAAAGCCTGCAGGGATATTCTAGGACTCATCACCCTTAATTCCATCCAGACTTACAAGGAAACCAAGACAGCAGGATGACCCTACTGACCTGGACACGTGGTGTCAGAGTCAGGCACACCAGCAGCCAAAGGCACTGCCCCACAGGCCTCTCCAGAACTGGGACTGCAGCGAGACAGGAAGATCAGCTCATCCCAGCCAAAGGAGGACCATCAGCCAGCCAGCAGGATTCCACAGAGGAAACCTGAAATTGGTGGCAGCCACCTGATGGGACACTGGCTCGTCCTGCTGGCAACTGTGACAGCAAATAACCAGCCTGGGTGTTGAGCGGGGAGAGCTCTCTGCACCCTCCAGCCATAACACAATCCACATCTCTGCACCCCCTCAGCCACAACACAATCCACATCTCTGCACCCCCTCAGCCATAACACAATCCACAACCCTCTGCGTTCAGCAAATGACACCAGAGCTTTATTAGCTTCTCAAGATGCTGCTCAGGAACAAAGAAATCATGTGCTCAGAGACTGGGCCACACATCTTCTACAGAAAATGCATTCAGGCTCCGCTCAAAAAGACGCTGCCAGTCCTGATAAATCATTACTGCCAATGTAATCTTGAAAAGCATTTCAATCCCTGCACACTGCACTGCCCAAACACTCACTGTCTCACCTAAGTGCCCATTTCTATCCCAGCCCAATTTCAGGCAGTTTTTCCTGTTCCTCACCACAATACACAGCCTCTGGTAGAGACACAGCAAGAGGGAATATCCCTATACACAGAACCCAAAAAATGGGCCATTTCTCTGAATTCTCCACCCTTGCAGTTGCTGGAGAGTTGGAATTTCTAAACAGCTGCCATTCCCCACATGTGATCTGGTATCAGGTGATCCTGTATGAAGCTGTAAGAATATCACTGAAGGAGAACTAAAAGGGAGAAGGGTGGCTCTGAGTCAGTGGAATCCCTGATGCCAATCACACCAATCAATCACATCCACATCCCTTCCAAATGTCTTACCAACAAACACATTCCTGACCAACCCCCAGAGAAAGTCAAGTGACCCCAGCAAGGCCACAGATCTGTTCCTACACCACTGAGGAGATCATCCACATTTATCAGCAGGCTGCCAGTGAGGACGAAGCAATTTAAACACACAACCCAACTTTAAATGTGAAATTATGACATGCAGCTATTCAGACTTCATCAGAACCTCTTTAACACCGTAATTAGAACTCTGTGGCCTCTGATGCTTTCAGAACTCTAGCAATACAGGTATTATTCCAATGCAATGTACCATTAAGCTGTAATCAATTCCACAACATCCAAAAATCCTTCAGACCAAAAGAATTCAGGTGTATTAAAAGTACAATGAAACTTCTGCAGAAAAAATGCAGAATAAAATTTATTTGCATTAAAACACTGTAAGAAAACCAGCTCAGATACTGATAGATTCAGTGGGGGTTTGACACCACCTGTTTACACGTTATTTCAGA